AGGGTCTAAAGGGAGTGACTGATGCGATATATAGAAATTTTCTTCAAGACTCCTGGCTATTAAATAAGTGAACATTAAATGAGACTAACGAGCTATCGCAAAAATGAAATTTGCTGAGAGAAGCTTCTGCATCGCACATAATTGTTCAGTAAAAATATTTCCGGAGAAACAAAACAAAATGACGAAGTACATGCAACAATTTCTCGCAATAAAATGAAATCAAGAACAAAGATTTGATGAATTCTTCTCAGTCCGACTCTCGTTTCATACTCTGTTATATCCCTTCAAAATTTAAGAGAAATTTTGGTCTACTGTCATTTGCTCAAATGTTAGAGCTGTGAACAACATAACAACTCTCCGATATCTCAGCAATACATCCCAAGGAAAAAAGCTTTTTGAGAAAAGACATAGCCATAGGGAAAACGAGCAGGAAAGGATTTTTCCTATTGTTTTGTTCAACTTTTTCTAGACTGAATATTGCAGATATGGATTAGCATTGAGAAACGAAAAAAAGGTGATGTTGAGGTTAACCAAATGCATTGCCTTCACCTCCAAGATGTCAATGGTACAAAAGCTTGGCTCATTTCAAATCGAGCTGTTTATTAAAGGTCTTTGTAGGTTTAGAAAAGTCAAATAGGGATAAAATCTTCCTGGCTTCCTGTAAGAAGACCTCTTTTTCCATGAAATTCAGAAAGCTGAAAAATACGAATAGTGCTCTTAAGGAAAATAAGATTAAAGCATTTTGCGACTGGACATTTGTCTGATTCATTGAGGGTCGTACTTGGGCGAGTTTTTTTGACATATATAAATCCTACCACAGTTGCAGGACATCTTGCTTATTATTATAATTGTTCTACACATATCGATACAACAACGAATGGTTTTTTAACAATAAAAAATTTTGTACAGTACACTTGAGAACTTGAAAATTGAATTTTATGAAGAAACTTTTAAATTCAATTAACTAGTAGTTGTCCTTCAACATGTCTCTGACACAAAGTTATTCATCACAGTTTTATCTTTCCCTTTCTTGTTTTGTTGTTTAACACTTGACGTTCCACATTTTTACCAAAAAGTTAGTGCTCCTATAAATTTGGCATATATGCCACAACTTCACTATGCGATATAACATAGGATGGACAGTACTGGACGTGGCGTATACCACGCCCTCCTTGAGTATCCCGTATGAGTTTGGGGAAATACAGTCGGAGTATACACATTACACAATGCAACTAATCATTTCCCTACAACATTACTCACATTTTTGGGAGAATGGAGTGTTTCTGTGACTTGAAACTTACTTTATATCTTTCCGATCCGCCATAATGCATTTGTGTGCTATGCACAGCTTTTGATATAGATTCACTGTTGTATGCAGATCCATACACATCACTGCACATATTAATAAAGATCCTAAAATATTCTCAAAGACACTTAAGATTGTATTAATCACGATGTAAAAAGGAAAAAAATCGTATTAAAGGGAAGAATTGCACAGTTTTACTAACGTTAATGGCGAGCTAGAACCAAAAATTCCTCTTGGACCTCCATCAGTAGACTGATAGTAGCCGAATTCAGTACATGTCTGCCAATACCAGCTTCGAAAACTGGCTAAACATTATAGTTTGAAAATCACAGTATCTGATTTTGTGCAACTATGCCTTTTCGTCCTTCAATTAGGCGAGAAAAGTTTGGTTTATCCTTACTGCATAGTTGAAGTAAGTTGTCTACACTTTACTTAGGCGCTCAAAAATTGCTTCAAAAAGGAGTTTGTCCTTGTACAAAAAACGAGGAAGGCGCTCATTTTTGAAGCAATTTAGGCTAAGCCTTATATAAGAGGAAAGTATTCCGTATTTTGCAACATATCAATGGCTAATGTCGCTTTCCTATTGTCCAGAACATCAATGAAAGTAATATGGTTTTCTATTGCTACCTTTAAAGGTGTCAAAAAGACTTAGCACTTTCACTCACAGTCGAATTCTTCTGTATTGCCGAATTCTTCAACTTTCAGGTAGTCTATCATCTCCGTATAATTGTTTGACGTATATTCATAGGGTCTGTACATGCCTCAAAATGCCAAAAATTGATGTCATTCCCTCAAAACATGGTATCAAACTTACTA